TTGTGTGTTTGGTTTGATCTTGGTGAAAATTTCGGTACCCTAGATTTTAGAACCCAATGGTTTGTCGTATAGGGGAAGACAGAAGACACACCAGTTGAGTTTTGCGATGGGGTTGAAGATCTTCAGTCAATCTGTCTCGTGACTTGAAATTTCTGATAATTCTTTTACGAATAAATAAATAATAATGCAAAAAAATAGTTTATAAAAATAAACGCTTTTGAATAATAAAATAAACGAATCTGTAGTTGCGATTTTATTCAATTAACGGTATTCTAGATGGTCATAAAAATAATTAAAATGAGGAGATAACTATTTTCACGCTTTTGAATATAAAAAGTTTCACACGGCTAAATAATAAGTTAATTTTTTCACTCCACAAAGCGCGAGCCAAATTATACGATAAACTATGCAACAGAAAGACGGAGATAATTGATAAAGTTTGAAATATTTATTTGACTAATAAGGTGTGAAATATTATAAGAAAAGTTGTGTGACAGACATACAAATATAATTGATAAAGTGCGAATAGCTATGCGACAGACGGACAAAGATATTTGATAAAGTTCGAAATGAAATATGATATGCGACAAGCAAACGAAAATAATTGATAAAGTGGGAACAAGCTTATGTGATATATTATGCAACAACAAGGTGAAATCAATTGATAAAGTGCAAAACAAGTTTTTCGATAAACTATAAGACAGAAATGCAAAAATACTATGCAACCGCGCGAGACAGCTCGACCATCGACGGGACGCGCGAGGCAGCTGCACCGTCGCCAGCGACCCCAGAATTCCACGCGGTGCTTGAGGCACAATAATGGCAGGCGTGTCTTGAGGGCAAGTCGGCCAATTTTCCTACTTTAGCTATTATTATAATTCTATTCCTAATTAGTATAGGTGTTTTTGATTATTTTGGCAATTCCTAATACCATAGATATTTACCTTCCTTAGAATTAGTTTTTCTCTTATTTAAATAGTCTATGTAATCATCTTTGATTTCATTAAGCAATAAGAAATTGTTGATGCTAAAAAATGTCAGCAACGGGATGAACTGTACACTACTCCGGGTACTCGTTTCAAAAAAATAAACAAGAATAAGGTTTGATCCCTTTTTATAATGATTCTAGCCAAGTATATATATGGCCAAACATGTGGTCATCAAATGATGGGAAATAAAATAATACAAATGATATTTTAATGTGTTGTGCCCGTGTGGGCCCAATTATGACACTTTGCAGCTTGGATAGACGTATGTTGTGTCGGTAGAATGCGTTCTTGAAAGACGACTTCTTTACTGCATCCGGGTCGGACTGGTGATATTAATTCTGATCGACTCGAATGTGGACGATCTTGACGTTTGAGGACTCGGTCGATATTAAATGATCAGCTTGGAGAACCTGCTATTTGTATATTTATTTATCACATATTTTAGCCTTCATTTATTTTTCCACGTGTCGTCTTTTTATTAATCGTAGTCAAATTGGGTATCACCAGAAATAACAAAATGCTCTTTCAAGTACAAAAAACTCTTGTATTAATCAAGATCGTTAGTGTGGCTTTCCACAAACACAAATCCACGAAATACGATCTTCATCAGACATCCAAAATGATACTAATTGCAAAAGATTATTATTTTCCTTTTGTATTATATAAATATTATTTAGCAAAATTCTTTCCCTTGTATAATCCTATACATATAGTAGGACACACATTTATATATTCCTTCATTGTATTGAATGAAAAGATTACTTTCAGCATATCAATTGTTCTCACTTTCTACATATATATATGTATACATATATATTATTAATTCATTATCCTTTGAGTGTCCCATTTCTGGTTAGGAATTACAAGTCAAATGATGAGATGTTTGTAAGATAGCTGGATATTTTAGGTCACATAAAGTTGGATCATATCAAATTAGACCCTACATCATTTTCTAGTCTCTTTGTATGACTTCATATGAAATGGACATAATCCTGTTACATTTTTATATTTTGTACTCTGGAAATGGAATTCAATGCAAGCACAATCAAGAAGTCACCAACTAACCAACCTCAGTTAAATTTCTTATGCAAATAACTAATAAGTATGGTTTAAGAAGTATTTTCATTTGAAACGCCACTACAGCTTCT